AGAACATACGCAATAGCACAATTTCTACATGTACAATTCAGGGACATTGATTGCATTCTTTGAATTGGGCATCTGTTCTCACCCTCCTGTTCTGAGTTGTTCCTCCCCAATTAACATACACTCATTCCCCACTACGTGCAATTCTTTTGGTCTCATGGCAAAGGAAGCAATTGTTTTTTCATGGAGGCAGTTAGCAACATTCTATATCCTCTTCCTATTCCTGACTCTCCTTCCTCTGTTGGTCCTGGTGAATAGAGACCAATTATTGTACTTGGATGGCTGCTTGCATGCTTTAAAGATCCTGGACATAATGCAGCAATCTATAAGGTAGAATAGAAGCACTAAACATAGTATCCTTATTTTTGCTTTTTAATAGATACGTGAAATACTGTTAGAACCTGTGATTTTGAGAGATATTTATATGCCATTGTTTATCTTTTTCCCATTTTCTTGTTCTAATTTATTCTTAATCAGAATTATCCGTGGTTGTAATCAGTTATTCTTTTGAAATTATTACATGTTCTCAAAATCACTGTATTTATAGTTGTACTGAGTTATGAGGCAGCAGTTGGTCATTTCATAAGCTAACAAAGTAAGATGTACCTGATAAACATAAATAATGAAGAACCTATGGAGTAGGTTGTCTGCCTCCGTTCATTGGACATTTCTCTGTGCTAGAAATATATCATAACCTAAAACTGTTCTTAAATGTTTTGAAATTAAATCCTATCTCAGTTCTTCTAATTTTATTCTTAGAAAGTTACTCTTTCCAATCTTTTGATTTTAGTAATCTGTCCATTTCTTTTTAGAAAGCATGTTGTTAGTGTGTGCTGTCTAGTTGGCTCTGCCTCATGGTGACCCCATGTACAGCAGAACTATCCTTTGCCAGCCACACAATTCTTGCTATACCTGAACCCATTGTTGTAGCCACTGTGTCAGTCCATCTCACTGGGGGCCTTCCCCTTCTTAGCTGAGCCGCCACTTTACCAAGCATGATATCCTTCTCCAGGGGATAGTCCCTTCTGACAACATGACCCAAGTAGGTGAGATGAAGTCTGGCCATTCTTGCTTCCAAGGAGCATTGTGGCTACACTTCTATTACCAGTCCATGGTACTTTCAGTATTCCTTACCAGCACCACAATTAAAATTTCTGATTCATTGCCAGCTTTCACATGCATATGAATCACTTGAAAATACCATGGCTTGGGTTAGGTGCCGTTTCAAAGTGACATCTTTGCTTCTTAACATTTTAAAGAGCAACAGATTGGTCCAGTGTAATAAATCATCTGATTTCATGACTACTGCTTGCATGGGTGTTGATTGGAAATCCAAGTGAAATGAAATCCCTGACAACTTTAATCTTTTCTCCATTTATCGTGATGTTCCTTATTGGTCCAGTTGTGAGGATTTTTGTTTTCTTTATGTAATCCATACTGATGGCTGGAATCTTTGATCTTCATTAGTAGGTACTTCAGGTCTTCTTCACTTTCAGCAAGCAAGGTGTGTCATCTGCATATCACAGGTTGTTAATGAGTCTTCCTCCAATCCTGCTGCCGAGTTGTTCTTGATATAGTCCAGCTTCTTAGATTATTTGCTTAGCATACAGATTGAGTAAGTGTGGTGAAAGGATATAGCCCTGATGTATACCTGTCCTGATTGTAAACCATGTAGTATCCCCTTGTTCTGTTTGAACAACAGCCTCTTTATCTACGTACAGTTAATTTCCTTGTGATCACAATTAAGTATTCCAGAATTCCCATTCTTCATGGTGTTATCCAAAATTTGTTATGACCCACACATTCAAATACCTTTACTTGGTCAGTAAAACACAGGTAAACATCTTTCTTGTATTCTTTGCTTTCAGCCAAGATCTGTCTGACATCAGCAGTTGTTCCATGTTCCTTGTTCCATGTCCTTGTTCCATGTCCTTTTCTGAATCCAGCTTGCATTTCTGGAAGTTTTCTGTCAACAAAACTACACCAACCATTTTTTGGATTATCTTCAGCAAAATTTTACTTCAAATAATATTAATGATCTTGGTTGATAATTTCCACATTCTGTTGGATCCCCTTTCTTTGGAATGTGCACAAACAATGATCTCTTTGTCTTCTCAAGCTGCCATTTGAAATCTTCTGTTCAGCTCTTGTAATTAGTCATTTCTTTCATTTGCTTAGCTACTCTATCTATTCAAGAGTAAGTTTCAGAGTCTCTTCTGACATCCATTTTGGTCTTTTCTTCCTTTCCTGTAATGTTAATGACTGCTTTCTTCAGTATGATGTTCTTGATGTCATCCCACAACTCATCTGGTCTTTGGTCATTGGTGTTCAATGGACCAAATCTATTTTTCCAGATGATCTCTAAATTCAGGTGGAATGAAATCAAGGCCATATTTTGGCTCTTGTGGAGTTGTTCTTATTTCCTTCAGCTTCAACTTAAACTTGCATATGAGAAATTAATGGTCTCTTCTTCAGTCAGCTCCTGGCCTTTTTTTTTTTTCACTGAAGATAATGACCTTCTCTATCACCTCACAATGTAGTTGACCTGATCCCTGTGTACTCCATCTGACAAGGTCCACATGTGTAGTTGCCACTTAACATTGTTGAAAAACAGGTATTTGCAGTGAATAAGCCATTGGTCTTGTAAAATTCTGTCATGCGTCTCCAGTATTATTTCGATCACCAAGGCCATATTTTCCAGTTAGCAACGATTCTTTGTCTCAGCTTTTGCATTCTAATTACCAATAACTAGTGCATCTTGATTGCATGTTTGATCAATTTCAGACTGCAGAAGTTGATAAAATCTTCAATTTATTCCTCTTTGACTTTAGTGGTTGGTACGTAAATTTGAGTAATAGTAGTACTGGTCTTCCTTGTAGATATCTGTTTATTACCCTATCACTGACAGCACTGTACTTCAGGATATATCTTGAAACATTCTTTTTAACAATAAACGCAATGCCATTCCTCTTCAATTTGGCCTTCCTGGCATAGTAGACCATATGAATGTATGATTCAAAATGGCCAATACTAGTCCATTTCAGCTCACTAATGCCTAAGATATCAATCTTTATGCATTCCATTTCATTTTTTACAACTTCTAGTTTTCCTAGATTCATACTTTATACATTTCATGTTCTGATTATTAATGGATGTTTGCAGCTGTTTCTTCTCATTTTGAGTCATGTCACATCAACAAATGAACGTCCCAAAAGCTTTACTCCATCCATGTTATTAAGGTTGACTCTACTTTGAGGAGATAGCCTTGAGTGCCATCCAACCTGAGAGCTTTATTTTCCAGCACACTGTCAGCTAGTGTTTCATGGCTATTCATGAAGTTTTCCTGTAATAAATCAGACAGTGTTTCACTGCTATTCATGAGGTTTTCACTGGCTACTTTTTCAGAAGTGGATGGCCCCATCTTTCTTCCCAGTCTGTCTTAGTCTGGAAGCTTTGCTGAAACTTGTCTACCATGGGTGACCCACTGGTATTTGAAATACCGGTGATGTAGCCTCCAGCCTCACAGCCACATGCAAGCCACACAGTATGACAAACTGACAGACAAGTGGGGGAGAAAACATAGTTATATTTAATTTTAAGAATTCCTGCTGTGGCATCTTTTTTATTAATTGGTTGGTTGATTGTGATTTGGGTGAAGGTTTACAGAGCAAATTCACTTTCCATACAGCAGTTCATATACACTTTGTCTCGACATTGACAATTTACCACGATGCAACAGCTCCCTTCCCGCTTCCTCCCCATAGTTACCTCTTCCCTATGTCCTTTCCTCCATACACTCCTGCCCTCTGAGCTGTCTTCCCGTGCATATACAACCCTCCTATTCTCCCATGATTCTTCTCTCCAAGGAGTGTATCTACCTAGTGTATGTTCAGCTCATATGTCTGTCTTTTGTTTGGCTGGAAGCCACACGTGTGGGTTCAGTTCCAGACCTAAAGGGCAGCTAGAGGCCATAGTCTCAGTGGTTCCATCAGGCTCTATTAGACGAGCAAACCAGGTCTCTTTTTTTTCTTTCTAATGATTTTGAGTTTTGTTCCACATTGTTCTCCCATTGTATCCAGGATCTCCTACATAGATCCCCCTCTGAGTGGTTGACAGTGCTAGCCAGGGACCATCTAATTTTTCTGGTCTCATAGTTGCATAGGCTGAGGATCGCATGGGGTACCAGTCATTTGGACTAATTGTTTCCATGAATCTTTGGTTTTCTTCATAATTCTTTGCTCTGGACAAGGAGAAACCCATTGTTGCATCTAGATGGCTGCTACCAAGCTTTTAAGATCCCAGTTGCTACTCACCAAAGAAGGATGTGGAACAATGTTTTGTGTAGTATTTATGCCAGTTGAACTTGATGTCCCCTGCAATTATAGTCCCAAGCTGCTGTGGCATCTTTTAAGTGCTCGGTTGCTAACTGAAAGGTTGTTGATTCCAACCTACCGAGTTGCTATGTGGAAGAAAGACCTGGTGATCTGCTTCTATAAAGATTACCGAACCCAAACCAATTGCTGTCAAGTGAGTTCTGACTCATAGCAACAGGACAGAATAAAACTTCTCTATAGGATTTCCCAGACTATAAATCTTTCTTCCGTGAAGTGGCTGGTGGGTTTGAACTGATGACCTTTCAGTTAGCAGCTGAGCACTTTAACCACTGTGCTAGTAGGGCACCTTAAAGATCACAGCCTAGGAAATCCTTTGGGGCATTGCTACTCCATCACATGGAGTTGCTATGAGTTGAAAATTGACCCCAATGGCACCTAACAGTAACAAACTTAATTTTAAAAAATTGATTATAAAATTATTACTTTATAATCTTACCTATTTGTAACTCTATTTAATGCTTTTAATTAGTAAAAAAAATTGGCTTATTTTTAGCACATATATTTGATTGTAGCACTCAAAATATGCTTAAGTTAGAGTGTGTGAGTTTTTTTTCTTTCAAGTTTCTGAACATGCATACATATACCAAGCTACTTTTGTATTTTTAACAGCATTCAACTCTGACATCAACATTGAGAAGATTGGGTGAAGACATATATAAAGGAGTAGCATCTAAAGGAATTCAGGATAATTCCTTAGAGCATGCTGTGGAAAATAAGCCAAAAACAGCTGCTTTCTTTAAGAGCTCCAGTTTATCTTTGAGATTTTTATCAACCTTAATTGTTCTTAAAACAGTAACTCAAGGTAAGCTTTCAATGGTTTATGGTATAGTTTTTGAGAAAATACTGTATAATAAAGCAATTCTTATATAATCAATACAGGCTTTACATTTCAACATCAGATTTAAGTTATTTTATAATGGTGACATGTTATTAAAAAACTGTTTTAATTTGTGGAACTTTATGAAGTAGAATATTCAGTTGGATTATCTCCACTTCCTGGAAGCCTTTGTTGATTGCCTTAGACCATCCTTCTGTCAAATCCTTTGCTTACTATTATGATTGTGTTTACCATAAAACAAACCAAACTAAACTCACTGCCCTCGAGTTGGATCTGACTCATAGCAACCCCTCCTTGGGTTTCAGAGGTGGTATCACTATGGAAGTAAATTGCCCAACTGCCCAACCTTCTTTCTGATGAGTGACTGATGGGTTTGAACCCCTGGCCTTCTGGTTAGCAGTCAAATGCCTTAGGCACTATGCCACCAGAGCTCCTGTGTTTAGCTTGTAGTATTGAAAAGCCTTGTTTGTTGATTGTTGTTTTACTAGATGAAGGGTTGACAAACTATAGCCATGGGCTAAATCTGGCTCACTGCTATTGTATATTTTTTGCATTTATTTTATTGGGATAAATATAGGTAACAAAACACCACTACTGTTTTGTAAATAAAATTTTATTGGAACATGGCCTTCTCATGTTTTTATGTATTATCTGTGGCTACAGTTGTGCTATAACACCAAAGTTGAGTAGTTGCAGCAGAAGCTGTATGTTTTAGTTATGTAGTGCTGCTGTAATAGAAATAACACAGTTTTAGAAGGCTAGAAGTCTGAATAAAGGGTGCCAGCACTAGGAAAAGGTTTTTTCTCTGTTGGCTCTGGAAGAATGTCCTTGTCTGTTCTGAGCTTCTCTTTGGTATTCTTATGTGGCTTGGCACCTCTCTTCCCCAATCTCTGCTTGTTTGTGAGTCCTAATCTGCTCTTTTTATATTTGTAAGAGATGACTCTAGACACACCCTACACTAATCCTGCTTCATTAATATAATATCACCAACCCTTTACCAAATGGGATAATAACCACGAGCATAGAGTTTAGGATTTATAACACATGTTTTTGGGGACATTTAATTTAATTCCTAACACTGTATGACCCACAGAGTTTATAATCTTTATTATCTGGCCCCTTACAGAAAAAGTTTTTTAACTTCTGTACTGGTTTATAAGCTTAATGAGTAAATTATTGGTATCTTTATTTACCATTGTATCTTCTCGTACATAGCATACCACTTGATGTAGTAGTAAATAAGGAAATGAATGAATTTAATTTTTTTTTTTTTTTTTACAGTGTTCTCTCCCCTCCCTTTCCACCCCTGGTAGCCAACAAAGAGAAAGTTTCCTTCCATATATAAAACTTTTCTTGACTTTTTACAATAATCAACTAATACTATATTTGTCCTTCTGCTCTTTTTTAAAATACATTTTATTGAAATATAATTTATGTACAGTAAAATTCACAAAACTATAGTGACATGGATCAATGCATTTTTTTTTCAGTAAAATGTTTTAATCAAAGTTGGTCATGATTAACCCATTTTGAGTATATAGCTATAACTAATTATCTTTTTAGATATAAATATAAAAATATTTGTTGAAGCAAGTCATTCCATTGCTATCAAACCAAAAATATACCACCTTTCTATCTTTTCTAGTTGTTAAATTTTACTACTCAGGCTGGTTGTTTTTTATTAAATGGTTATTGATAGTCATTTAATATGGCTACTTTCTCTGAAATACATTTTTTTTTTTTTTTTATAACTGTTAATTGTGATTTGGGTGAAATTTAACAAAGCAGATTCATTTTACATTTAACAGTTCATAGATGTTTTCTGATAACTAGTTACATTCCCTGAAGTGTAACAACTCACATTCCACTTGCTCCCTGTGGTTACCCTTTTCTGTGTCCTTCTTGCCTGTGCATTCATACCTCCCTACATTTCTCCCTGTACAAATGCTGGCCTTCTGATAGCCCATGGTTGATTGTTCTAATGAGTCTATCTCCTTGGTGCAGGTGTTCAGCTCATAAGACCATTGTCTGCAGTATGTTTTGTTTAGTTACTCCTATTGGTATGGAATTGAGGATAAACCAAAAAACTGTAACTTAATCTTCTTAGTTATTTTCTCTCTTTGTAGTTGTGGTTCTCAAAGTTTAACAGACTGGATGATAGCTGTTTCAAATATCATCTTATAAGAAAAAGATATTAGCTCAAAATAAAGTTAACCATCAGCCTATCTCAGAAAGTTATAAATCAATTTAGTGTCAGTCTCAGGGTTACAGACATTCAGCTTATAGGCACTTGTACTTATTCTTTGCTGCTGTTGTCAGGTGCTGCCCCGTTGGTTCCAACTCATAGTGACAAATATGGACGTGGTTGCCCATTCTTAGGCCATCCTCACAATCATTGCCATATTTGAGCCCATTGTTGCAGCCACTGTTTTGGTCCTTCTTGATATAACATGTTTTGGTCCTTCCTGATAACATGCCCATAATATGCGAGACAAAGTCTCACCATCCTCTTTTCTAAGGAGCATTCTGGCAGTACTTCTCATAAGACAGATTTGTTTGTTCTTCTGGCAGTCTATGGTATATATAATATTCTTCACCAACACCATTATTCAGGTGTATCAATTCTTGCTCATTAACTTTATGTAAATTTGAAACAATTGAACTACTCTCTAGTCAAGACAGATTCTTCATCACAATCATCTTTAATTGCTGTATATGCAGCTTTTAAATCATTGGAAATGCTTTGAGCCTTTTCTTGTACTAAAGTAAAGCTAAATAGTAAGACTAAAAGTAGAGCTAAAGTAAGAACCACATATACCTGTTCCAACTTACCTACAAATTTGACTCAAGAACAAACTTAGGAACAGATCTCATTTATAACCTAAGGATTGCCTGTATATTAAATAGAGTTTAGCAGATAGACTATAGCCATGCATTAAAAAGATATTTATTTTCACCAAAGATCAAATAAGGCTTGTATCAAAAATTCAAAGCCACTTAAGTACAAGAAAAAAATCTTAACCATTAATCATCTAGTTAAGAAAAGTATTTAAAATCATATCTCAGTATACACTATGACATCATTTGATAATATATGACTTTCCTTCCTGATAAAACTCTAAAAAAATGTAAAAATACAATAAGGGATATTTATTTGAAATGGAGAAATAGAACAAGACAAAATATGTGTGCCCTATCACTACTTCTGTGTAAAGCAGTATTGAATATGCTGACCAGCTGTAATGAGGCATGAATAAAAGAACGATAAGTATTGGGAAGGAACAGAGTAAACTACCAGTGGATATTCTAACTATATAAGTCTAGGACATTCAAAGAAAGTGGCTCAATATTTCTGGATAGAAAACGAGGTTCAGAGGAAACCCACAAAGAAAGATGTTGCCTTTCTAAATGTTAGTAATATTTCTGTTGTTTCATGCTGTTGAGTCCATCCTAACTCATGGTGATCTCATGTACAACAGAATGAAACATTGCCATGTCCTGTTCCAGCCTAACAATTAATGCTGTTTGAGCCCATTGTTGTAGCCACTGTCTGTTTATCTTGTCAACGGTCTTCCTGTTTTTCACTGACCCTCCACTTGACTGAGCAGAATATCCTTCTCTGGGGACTTGTCCCTCCTGATAACATGACCAAAATAGAAGAGATGAAGTCTCGCCATCCTCACTTCTAAGGAACATTCCAGTTGTACTTCTTCCAGGACAGATATGTTTTCTTCTGGCAGTCCATGTTATATTCAATATTCTTTGCCAACACAATAATTCAAATGCATCAGTTCTTCTTCAGTCCTCCATATTTGTTTTCCAGCTTTTGCATGCATATGAGGTGATTGAAAATACCATGGCTTGAGTCAGACACACCTTAGTCTTCAAAGTGACATCTTTGCTCTTTAACACTTGAAAGAGATCTCTGGTAGCAGATTTGCCCAATGTAGTACATCATTTGATTTCTTGACTGCTGCTTCCATGGAGGTTGATTGTGGATCCAAATAAAATGAAATCCTTGACATCTTTACTCCATTTATCATGATGTCACTTATTGGTAGAGTTAGGAGGATTTTTGTTTTCCTCTTGCAGTATTCCCTTGTTCTGTTTGAATGACTGCCTCTTGGTCTATGTATAGGTTCCTCATGAGCACAGTTAAGTATTCTTCAATTTTCTGCAATTTTCATTCTTCTCAATGTTTTCCATAATTTGTTATTATCAACACAATTGAATGCCTTTGCATTGTCAGTAAAACATAAGGAAACATCTGTCCAGTATTCTCTGCTTTCAGCCAAGATCTATCTGACATCAGCAATGATATCCCTCAGTCTACATCCCCCACACATGGCTGACTGTCACCAACCTGAAAGCCCATGGAGCTTCTGTGTCCGGAGCTTTTATTGGGGCTTCTCATTACATAATGAAAACCGTAGCGCCTCTTCCCTGAGATTGACTGGTATCATGAGGTACTGTGTAGTGGATCTTTGTGACCTGGCCACCCAGAGTCACATCATCATCCTTATAGTTAGGTGTGTGTGCTAGAATTTCTAGCAGTTCTCTGTATGTATATTGCTGCAACTGGTTTTTAATTATTTTCAGCAAAATTTTACTTATCTATGATAGTAATGATTTTGTTTGATAATTTCCACATCACCTTTCTTTGGAATGGGCACAGGTATGCATCTCTTCCTGTCTGTTGGTCCGGCAGCTGTCTTCCAAATTTCTTGGCATAAAAAAGTAAGCGTTCCCCCTGCTGCATCTGTTCATTGAAACATCTCAATGGGTATTTCATCAATTCTTGGAGCTTTGTTTTTCATCAGTGCCTTCATTACAGGTTGGACTTCTTTCTTCAGTACCATTGGTTCTTGATCAAATGCTACTGCCTGAAATGGTTGAACATTGATCAGTTCTTTTTGGTACAGTGCCTCTGTATATTCTCCCATATTCTTTTGATGCTTCCTGCA